TTCAGACGGTATCCTGCTATTATCATTTTAAGAACGGAAGAAAGGTAATATTTACGAAAAAAGTGGTACCCTCCGATCTTAATGATTTTTTAATATACATATTGCGAAGGTCATCATTGTAAGTACATACAGTCAGTCAAAACATTTTTACTGTTTTATAATTATTTTTTTGTATTTTACTGTTATATAAGCTATTAATTGTTGTTCATTTTTTGTTTATATTTTCTATTACCGACTGTAGGCACATCTACCATTATTTGCACCGCACAGATGCGGACAGATCTTAATAAACAACGGCCATCAAATGCAATCTATCACTAGCCAGAATGATAACCTTGATAACAAGGTTTAATTAAATAAAACATTATCGAATCGGTAGGGTGATTCTCCTTTTTCTAAATAATTTCTGATACAAGTTTAAGAAACATCAGTTAAATGTAATGCATTTTTAAGATTGTAATATAAACTTTACTAAACAAATACCTTTGTAGCCTTTGTCGTAGAAGTAGGATTAAAACTCTCAAGGTCGGCTTCAACAAGGATATATAATTTGTACTCTGGTTGTAACGAACTTCCAGCAGCGTTAGTTGTATGCAAAGGAAAAAACGTTCTTCCATATTGATACGTTAACCAACTTGAGATATCAACATTTTGCTGGTAAAATAGCAATTCGTTAAACAATCAAATGATGACGGTATATAATATTCTCGTGTTACACTACTGCTTAATGCATACTTGAGGATATATAGTGCATAACTTCATATCACCGTGATACCATAACAAATTCTCGAGTCTAGCTTCGCTTTTATTTGAACATACAGAAGAAGACATAAACTCTTCGCTTTCACAAGCATCCATCGAGGGTTTTGATTCTTAAAATAACAAAGAAAATTCCATTATGCTCTGCACAAATATATTACTGAATTGTCCTTATCTACACGAACGTTAAATAGACACGTGAGTATAATATTAATGGCGATTTTAACTAATGTTTGACCTTTTTTAACGAACTTCGGTATTCAAGTTCGAGATATATGCAGTTTTTCAAAAGAAAAATGCAAAAAGCTTTCATATAAAAATAATTATCTTTAATTCATTACAAAATAAACAACATTTATACTTTCCCCAGATTAATTTACTTGCATCTTATTCGAAGGGTATTAGTGGTTATTAAATTTGACCATGCAAACGTGACATTAGAAAAGATGATAACGCCATGTACAATAAATATTACATCGTATAACTAACCTTGTGTGAAAAACCTAAACTTTTACTCCAACAAAGAGTAAGATGAAAATATAATTTTACAATCATTAACGTTAAGTTCAAATTCAAAATTCTGTGGAAATAGTATTCTGGTTAATGTTTCACTATCATACATCATAGTAATAATAATAATAATAATAATAATAATAATAATAATAATAATAATAGTAATAATAATAATGAATAATAATAATAATAATAATAGTAATAATAATAATAATACCTACAAGTGGTTATTAATCAATTGTTCATGCACGTATTTATCAGTTGTTCATGCACGTATTAATCAGTTATCATTGTTATGCACGTTGCAATAATACGCAATTCAACTGTAAAAAACCGCAAATAGTGCGTTAAATGCATTTCTTGTGCAAATTACTGCCGTATGAATTATTATTTTACGACACGCGTAACAAAAATGTAGTTGTTCAATCAGTGTCCTCTAAACGCAATTATAAACAACATTTGTTTGATTCAAAATTATATTTTCAAACATTTCATACATTGCCCGCGTTCTATTTTGCTATTAATTCTCCAGAATTTTAGTATGCACATTTGCGGTTTCTTGTGCATATAGTACAGCACTGTGCGTACAAAACCCGTTATCAGGAGTAACTACACACATCTGGATAGGTGAACACTTGTAAAAAGAGCTCGTAAAATTGTCCGTAGTTGTATAATTGCTTATTTTATTATTCTCAATATATTTAACAAAATTTGTCATTATTTCTCAATGTTGAAATCATTCTGAAAAACTCTGCTTTCACACGTTTCCACCGATCCAAACGCGTGGCTTCACCCTCAGAAACAACGGTTATTAATATTTTATATCCTCTGCAAGTAGAAGAGGATAAAGAATTCTATTCTGAAGAAGAAAGTAGTCTTATTGGGGCGAATAGTCAACTCTTTCGCATCAGAAAATGTGCATATATTATTTACCTGAAAATTTGTGGTTTCCATAAAAACGATTTTACGGAAACGTTGCTTGTTACATTAAAAGTATATTATTTTTAATAAAGTATCAAAATTAATTATTTAAAGAAAACAACTATTTATTTCAACAACTATTACATCTTATATAATATAATAAAATATATATTATATTATATATATAAAATAATTAATTAAAAATAAAAGTACTAGCAGTAAAATTTGAAAAACTGTACTTTTACTGTTGTTTTATGATTTGTAATATGAACAGCTTTTAAATAGAAATTTTAATTACAAATGTTGAACTGTATGAATAACAATAAGAAGGGGGCATCTCAAATGCAAAGGAATAATACTAGTAGCTGTATAATAAACAATATTTGTGCCACAGAACAAAAAACACAATAGTGCATTGTAAGAACTCCATATGTATTAATGTCGTCTGTTCAACGATGCAATTCAACTACAATGAATCGTCTATGTGACAAGTAATCCAGAACAAAAGGGTTAATATAGCTTCCGTTTACTTAAAAACTGATAGTTACCTATAAATGTTTTGATTTCATTTCCCTGAAAAATACATAATACAACAGCAAAGCACATACATATATCTGTGTACAGTATTGTTTCAAAAATCTCGAAAAATTCCGCGTCGAATTCATTTAAAAATTTTGGACTTTTGAATCAACCACGAGGAGACTTCCATTTAAACCTGCAGCCAAAGAATATCGTTATCGAATCTTTGATCTTCGCATCCTGAATTAGGTATCCTTGATGTGCAACTTACAACATACAGACTATATTATTGATTCGTTAATTAAGTTGATATTTTCGTTATTAACAGAGAAAAGTAAAAAGGGTAAAAAGAAAAATGAAAACTTTGGGAACTGTGACAATGTATTAAACATAATGTGATAAATTAATAAAAACAATATTTAGCAGATACACTGAATTTCATTAAAAGATTAAAAATCTGCTTAAAGAAGCTCTAGATACGAAGAAAGAAAGAAGATCTAGATACTATCCTGTTCTAACGATTGACGCAGGATTGGCATAATTCATGGTCCGTTTTCAAGTCTCAGGCTACAAGCGTAGAAGCGTAGCGAATTTTTCAACTAGTTATTATTTCTCGGATTTTTGAGTCAACACTTTTTATTGGTAATACAAACATTAAAAGCGCGTAATAAAATTTGTTAACTTAATAATTAAACAGAAACTAGGTGAAGCAACATTATTCTGGAAGTGCCACTTCCATTTTATTCAAGTATTTTGCATTGTCTACTATTTACAGTGGAGCAGTAAACATGTACAAAGTAATTGAATGCGCAACAAATATACAAAATTAATAATAACGCGAATGATACTTGTATGTAATATTTATTTTATAACTTTACGTATATGTACATAATTATAATATCAAATTAATACTTATATGTGCATCAAAAAGGTTGAGAGAATAAATGATATATAAAATACAAGGAGGATATACATGATAAAAGAACTGAAGCTTGTATAGATAAATACGAAAAATTGTTATATGCGTTATGTACGTAACTAGAAAAATCGTATAGTAATATTAAAAAATTGAAAGTTCAATCGGAAATATAAATAATAATATAATAATATAGATTGGAAAACGTGTTATGTATCAATTATAATGTAGATTCGAAAACATGTTAAAAAACCCTAAAATAAATTATCCAACTATATTAGAGCCTTAATAGAAATTTTCTTACAAAAATATCATTTCAAAATTATTTACTTAGAAAATTTCTGTAATTGAATTTGTTAAGAATGAATATGTAGATGCATATCGTTCGAACCTTTTTTCATTAGCAAACATTAAATATTGTCTAAGCGGGTGATATCATGCAAAAAATGTTTCAAGAAAAGTTATTTGGTACGAAGAAGTGTACTAGATGGCTGCAACATTTTTTCTTCTATCTGTTGTAATGAATCAGATTTCGAATGCAATTTAATGTTATCTAACGGAATGCTATATTTTTGGATTCATGCAATGGTAGTACGTTTCATGGCCAATTCAATTTAATTCATTTCCTTTCACGGAAGGGGATAAAATAGTCAAAAACTGACAGTACTGATTATGCTAAATCTACTTAACTCTGTGTTCAACCAAAACAAGTCACACATATTTTCATGGCTGTGTAATTTACGCAGAAGAATATATATGTTACTGAATGTATACTGAAATAACTCGAGAAATGTTGAAAATTACTGAAACGCTGTAACATTGTGCAGGGTTACGAGTGAAAGGACTTTGTAAGTAAAGAAAGAACACTACGGTTTTTTGTCTATTTTATCAGCTTTCATGAAAGGTAATTACACAAATAACATCTGGTTGAATTCGTCTTAAAACATATTACTATACTATATAGACAATAATATAGCTTTTCATTGAAGAAAATTAAATATGTATTGAAATCTCCTTCAACAGAAAAATACTTCTACCATCTAATACAACCCTCAATGCCAATCAACTTT